ACCTGCTGACCAGGCTCTGGGAATGAGCCAGGAGGGCCGGAACACGCCACCGGTAACACACGCCCTCCAGCTCCCGCCATATTGTCCCCTACCCGTCAGCACCTTGATAGAGTAGCCCACCGCATAATCCCTGGGGGCTGTAGGCCCAAATGCCTCCACTCCTGAATATAATGGAATATAATGCATTACCTTAAGATGGTACACAGAGTCAGCATTAAGAAGGAACTATGCATTAATGGAGAAAATACCTAATGATTACACATCACCATGACTGCTTTATTACCTTGCAGTTTACTAATCTAATGATTTCACTGCTATCAGCATCCTACATCCTTTTCCAACTGAAAGTGTGTGGATTCCTTAAGCAATGTTGCTTTTGGGGATACATTCCACCCCCCCTTTACTTGCTCTGAGCCACAGCACAAACCCACTACATATTATCAGCAAGGATGGATAAGCATCACTTCTCCAGATCCAGTTGTATTCTAGTGGGACCAAGAAAAGAGAATAGCGAAAGGAGTGATTCTAAAAGATTGGGGAAAGATTTAGTGCCCTTCCCATGCCAAAGTGGACTCGAGGATCTCAGTTTGAAGAGCAACCATTCACAAGAGAGAAAGTAAAGTGTTTAACTAAAGCGTTAATACATTCATTCTGATACTAGATAGCCTGTTCTGTGGGTGCAGTGTACATTCAGGCTCAAAAATGTAACACATCTCCTGGGGCTCTTTACACTAGTATACAACTGTACATACCCACCACCCAAGAATAAACATCAGCCTATAGTTGTGTTTTCTGCAAGAAACTATGCTTAAGATTGTAAAGCATTTCCTTCTAGTAAATGAACAATTCAGAAGCACAGTGAGCCTGCGATGAAACCACCACATCATCAGCACTGCCCATGCAATCAGCTTTTATGGCTGAAAAACCAACTTTCCCCCTGAACTTCATCCTCAAAAGGTACAGCATGGCCGAAGTCTGACACATGCATCACAAAAACCGCTAATCTGAAGGTAATTTGACTTCTCAGCTTTTTGCAATTGAGAAAACTTCCACACCTAAGCAATGCTATAGGCTTTATTTGCTACGGCCTATTGCTTGATAATCCCTATAATCTGAGGAGGAGTGCATGTTTGGGTATTATTATTGGGCTAGATCTCTGATGTATTTGATCTATTGGCTACCTTAACTCTAACCTCTAAATCCAATCCTATGATTAACAAAAACGTTTATGAGAAAGAATGGAGGGAGATAAATGGAAGAGCTACCCATAAAACAATACAAAAAGGCAAAAGGTACTATATGCTCAACCAGGTATGGCAGTACCTAGACACCTTTGGCTGATCTCAGAAAGCTAAGCAGGATTAGAACTAGTTAGTATATGGATTGGAGACCACCAGGAAGTCCCAAGGCTGTAGGCAACACTGGAAGTAAAACAAAAAGTCTGGAAGAAACCAATGGCAAACCCACCCTGCGTTCTTGTCAAAAAAACTACATGGACAAGTCAGCCAAATCACCAAGAGTTGGGCATAACTCAAAGAAGATCATACCTTTAGTTTACTACTCTGCTATTAGTTCTACATTTGTAGTGTTTGGCTGAGCTGGTTCTAAAATTTAACAAATGGTTAGCATAGGATTGAGGGAATGAGTTCACATCTCACTCTGAGCCATACTTTTTTTTTTTTAATTATGGTTTGATAAATAAGCCACAAGTGGACTGGTTCATAGATCTTTAGGCACAAAAACCAGCTGGGTGGCTTTGGGTCAGTCACTGTCTCTCAACCTCACCCACCGCACAGGGTTGTTGTTGTGGGGGAGTAAGAGGCAGGAGCATTAGAAATACTGCCTTGAGTTGTACAAAATAAAAAGGGATATAAAGTGTGAAGCCAAAATCACATAAATCACTTGGTATTGGCTTGGCACCATGTGTGGACCCAGCCAAAGAATAAGATTTTTATAAGGAACTGTCACTTTCTAAGTATGACCAGGAAGAAAAAAAAGGCATTTTCTCATAGCTATCCAAGGATAATTTGACTTCCATGTCAAGGAAGTGATTTCAAGACTGAAGGAAAAGATAATTCCTAGGAAAATCCACAGAGTTTGCATTGGCCTTTAAGAAAGGATATGGATAATTTAGTAAATGTGGTTCAGTCTTGGATGCAAGCTGATTTTTGCATGAAATACAAACAAAAAATGATTATTGTATCACATTGTGCTTCCTAATTTTTATCTACATTTGTATAAGCTTCAAGTAATTTCCTGTACAATGAAAGCAAATCTGCAAATGTTTGGCAACTAAGAGCTAGATGATGATGATGATGATGATGTATTAAATTTATATGCCACCTGACTCCCAGCAACTCTGGGCAGGTTACAAATTGTTAAAAATGTTTTAAAAACACGTAACATTGCAAGACACAATGACGACAAATTTGATAAAGAAACAAACAAACATTGCAAGAAACACAAAACAAAACAAAACAAAACAAACCAAGATGGCAAAGAAAACAAACCCAGATGGGAACAAGAGAAAGGAAGAAAAGTCCTCACCAAAGGCCAGAGCAAACAGCCTGGTCTTCAGAGTCCCTTGAAATACCAATAGCGCGGGACCTGTTTGAATCTCCAGGGGAACCTCATTCCAGAGGGCAGGTGTTGCTACAGAGAAAGTACACTTCCAGGGTCCCGAAAGATTGTATTGTTTAATCGACGGAACCCAGAGCACACCAACCCTGCCCAATTGAACTGCCTGGGTAGATACTATTATATTAATAATGGTAGTAGTAGTAGTAGCAGTAGTAAGAAGAAGAGATATCATATTTCTTGTATTTGAACATGAAAGCTACATAGTACATTTTGCAAATCCCAAGCAGCATAAGTACTCTCCACAGTTAGTCTTCCTTATAATACTCAGCCCATCAGCAATATGTGAGCAGAAACCATTAAAAGTATATGTTAATATTTCCAACAGCATTTATATTCTAAGCTTGCTGAAGTGTTTCAGAATCCTGCCAGCATGAATGTTGAGATTTCTTTCCCCTAAAGGGTATGCTAGATCTTATAACATTTATGCCCAGTACCTTTGTAAGACAGATGCAGAAAAAAAAAATAGAAATCAAGAGAATAATGCTGTTAAAAATAGAATTAAAAATACAAAAAATGGAAATAGAATGTTAGTTTGGTTCCAAGGAAAAAAAGGTGCTTTGGACCATAAGTGGGCATGCACACAGCATGTCAGCAACTCCTTAAACAAAAGGGAAATGACAAAATATATATGTCGAAACATCATCCACCTACTGTGGTTTGAGGACTTGCATCACACCACAGTCAAAAGTTTGCATTGCGCCTTTGGACAGATAAATGTTCAGCTTCTCCTTCCAATCAAGCACAGATTAGATAGCCATTTGTTAGGGGCATACAAATTTAATAAATTGTTGTTGCTGTTATTTTACACTGAGCAGAGGATTGAGGTAGATACTTAACTGGCCCTTCCAACTCTGAATCTATAGGCAGAGATGGCTCCAAGAGGCAAACAGAGCTGAGGTTCACACAGGGATGACTGGGCAAGCTGAACATGGCACACGAGCGCCTCTGGTGCTCTCTACATCTGCCCAGATACTCAAAGCACATTACACCACTAACATCTATAGGACCAGAATCTTTTTGTTAACCTCATGCTTTCATTTTGCATGTAGACATCTGTCAGGCATGTAATTTAGAAGGAACATTTTTGTTACATGTTACCGTTAAGGGAAATACTTCAGCCTCTATGCTATTCTCTGCAAGGGACCAGTGGTGTTGGTTGACCACCTCTCTAAAATGATCACAGGAGTATCTCAGGATGGCAAAATAGTTGTCTGTTCTCAAGAACACTTCCAGCTGGGCAATGTGACGCTACCTGGATTGTAAGGATGGGCCTCATGAGCCAACGTTTTGGGTGCAGGTGTGATTAATATCCTACTGATTAATTGGCATTATTATGAATAATGATATTGCAACTTTTTAAATACATAGCATATATAGCCAACTCAAGAGAACTGCAAAGAATCAGACTGGGTGTTGGTAATATAGGTTTTAATGTGCTTATGCCTGTGCCCAAAAGGATTAACAGCAGCCCCCAGTTCTTAGGAACGGTAAGACAACATGCAAACGACCCAAAGTTAATGACCTTCACTGCATTTTCATTAAGACTTGGACAAATAAGAGGACTGCTCTTTCCCTACTTCGCACCTCAAGCTTTAGCTGAACGTGAACATCTGTGTATATCTGATGCTTTTCTCTTTTCCAGGAGGAACACAGTAAGTTCCCATTTGGCTCCCTAGGTAGGGTTCAGATAACAGACAGTTTCCTGTAGTTTTATCTCTCTGGCCAGTGTTCTGAGTTGTCTTTCTGCCTGCCATGCTAGTAGACTTTTTCTCAGAAACACTGCAGTTTAATAACCTAGCCCCTAGGCAAATTTGTTTATGGTTATATTGGTATAGCTGTGACTGGCTTCAGCGACAGTACTCTTGCTCTATTGTTGCCATCAGCTCCTCTTCAGAGTAATCATAGGATATCTTGGCCCGTCTCTCTGGCTTCTTGAGCGGCAACCTGCAGATTTATGTGAGAAAGCAATAATCAGGATAAAAAAAAAAAACTGAAATGAGACCTAATTTCTTTCCACTGCTAGCAAAACGTTATCCTCCCATTTCTCCTTTAATTAGCATGTGTATCTAATTCTCACATTGCTTTTTAAGACGTTCACTCTGAATGTTTATATCCCATCATTTAATTTTAAATAAAATGGAACTCACAGCATGGGAGATCAACAGGATTTGGAAGGGTAAAGTGGGGAAGGAGGAAGACACATCTATTTCCTAGGAGCTGGGTCATAACTAAATTTAATGGAAGGAGAAATTCATACATGTTATAGGGAAAGATCCCTGACCTTTTATAGCTAAGGGGTACCTTTGGAAAGTTGAAAGTGCACTGTGGCCCTTCGTAAAACTTGCCTGATGAAGGCTTTCCTATGTAAATATCCACAATTATTTAATAAAGCTTTGTTAATTGCTTTTATTCTGGTGTCTTGCCCATTCCCTCTTTGGTATCCAAACTAATGGCCATTACAGCCAGCAACAATATGGCACTGTGATGGGGATGGGGACCCAGTTGGTAAGGAGACCAAGAGCAAAGCAGAATGATTATTCTGGAAGAATAAAGGGATTGAAATGTCATGCTATGTTGGAAAAGGAACTTCTTTAAAGCTGTGGATTATAATTAGAATCCCCATGAACAAAAGAAAAATTGTTCTGATAATGTTCAGGAAGCAATTCTAAAGTGTTTTTTTCTTGAAGGAAAAGCATGCTAAAAAAAAAAAATCAGGATGATTGCAATAAAGATTCATAATCAAACTGATAGCCAACACACGTGGTCTTCTTCAACCACTCCACATCTAAATTAAGAAAACAGTGTCGTGATTAAATTCAGTCCTCCCATCAGTTTTCTTCCATCAGCATATGGACTATCTGAGAGATATAATAAGAAAAGCAACAATCCAATCTCGTGAAGCGGCCATTAAAAGAAAAAAAAAAAACTTCTTGCCACAATATTTCCTAAATAAATGCTTGTAGAAAAATGTGAAGAAAATTATTACCGAACCATGCTAAACAACCGATAAAAGCACAGGAACGAAAACTGTCCACTTCTGCAAAGGAGTATACTGATGTCTCTACTCATGGTTATTATCATTTGATTCAAGATAACTTACTGATTGGCAAAGTTATTGCTCTCCGGTGTAGATCTTGCTAAAAAACCCTGAAAAACAAACGAACATAATGACACTTATATAGCCTATGACAATGAAATGCAGATTGACCCCTGCTAGTAACTCTTATAATTATATAGATCAGTGAAAGCAGAAATGATTTTTGGCAAGGAAGGTGAGGGACTCTGACATTCCTCTATGGAAACATTTTGATTGCTGGGATTAGAAAAGTTGATGTATGTATATACATTTACCTTTCCTCATTCTAAGAAAAGACAATGAGCAGGTGATTCCTACAGACACAAGCTGGAAGAATACTGTTAAAGAAAATGCATCATTACCTTACCAATTAAAATCATTAGATCATATAAAAACATTAGCAGGAGAGTAAGTATGATGGGAAGATGGCAGCATATACATATTCATGTGTGCACCCATGCTAAGAATCTGAGACAGAGGTGCCTCCTCTGTTCTCCCCACCAGTTTCCAGACCAAGGTAAATATGCTGATGGCAACAACTCAGCCTAAATCATGTCAACCTCTTCCTGCTATTCCAAGCAGTTTAGCTTAACAGATATATCTGACTCTACTTGACTGAGCAAAGTTCTAATCGGATTCATCCAGCCTTGAAAACAGGGTATGATGTTGGTTAACAAATCCTACCTGTGAGAAACTTAAACTACAGGTATGATTTATATTCTTATTGGGACTTTCCACACTGCTGAGGTGAAGGGCAGATTTTGACAGCTTTGCCTCTCAGGGACAGTGCTGGTTATGGACCAGATCAAGACAATGATGTTGTGGGGGCACAGCAGAAAAATAATGTTGTCAGGGCATGCTTGTGCAAGTGAAAGAGGGCCTTTAAGGACACTGAAAAGTAGCTTGTCTTTTTAACCATATTTGAAAGACAGTGCCATTTCTTAGTGTTGGATTCAGGCACACTGACTGAACTGTGTAATACCTCTTTAAGCCCAGCCAATCATCTAGCTTCCCCTCTTTCTTGTAGGCCAGGAAGATCTCTGCTGCCTGTGTTTGAAAACCCTGCAAATACAGAACCTGTTATTAAACCATTTCCAATCCTAACATATGAATGGAAAAGCGGAATAACAATATAAGCTCTGTGCAGTCAGCATCCCTGCTTTCTTAGAAGGTGTCCTATTTTCTGCCGGTATATACTACATTTTAGCTCATCTTGACATCATCACAGCCCATTTTCTCACCTGCAGTTTAAAGTGGCCTCTTAGTGTGCTAACAATCCCCTATTCTCATGTCCAGCACATAATTAAATACCTTTGTCCTCTGGAACAGAAATGGTTCTCCCCCATCAAACAATGTGCTGCTACTCCTTCAAGGTGCATAAAGTTTATAGCATATTGCTACTTTTATTATTATCATGGAGACAAGGTCTGCATGTGACCAGAGCACAGCCCAGGAGTTTCAAAGTGCAGGCTCACCCCCTTCCCTCTGGCCACTAGCCAGTATCTGCCACCACCCACCCATTCCAGGATCTGGGCTGGGTCCCAGGATCCTTTCCTGGGTGTCCCTCCTTTTTTGAAATCAACCTCTTTTTTGGCTTCCAGACAGATAAAAGACAGAGCTCCACAGAGGAAAGGAGAGCAGCTTCTCTGAATAATCATTTTCCCTAGTGAAGTAAGAGATGAGGCCAGCACTGGTCAGTTTCAGATACTTAGCAATCCATAACCCAAGTTGGCCTAATCTTATCTCCAGCACATAACTTAAATACCACTGAGTTCCCTGCCCTCACAGGCTATTTCTGCCATAGGATGTCCCTAAGTGTGTCTAATTATATCTGTTTGACCTGGAATCTGTTTTGGAGTTGCTCAGTTACTTTAAAAGCCAAGTTAATTTAAATTTAATTCATTTACATTGTTAAAAATTGATGCACACACATTTATGGTTGGGAGCCATCTCTGTTTCTTAATTTCATCCTGCTTTAGCCTGTCAGGTGACCAAGTGGTAAGAAGGTGGAAGAGCCAAGGAATCAGAACAGAGAGGCCTGTCCTTGGAATCTGGGTCAAATTACATCCCATATGAGAATGGGTTTCCCACTGGATGGTGATGTGCCAAGGGGGTGGGAGGTGGGGAGAACCAACCATCAGAGCTGTGAAAACTGGTCCATTTGCAAATCTGGGGAATAAGGTTTGGCAAGGAATTGCAACGGTTGACAGGCACAGGATAGGCCCCTGTGATGCCAATAGCTAGTTTTAGCTAGGAACATGGCCTCAGAGGAATGCTGAAGTATGGTTTGCATTTTTTTTCCTCAGGAGTTTTGAGAAAAGTATCCCTGGAGTATCAGGTCTATACATGAAATTCAGATAATTGTAATACAGATGGAACCAAGTATTGATTAAGAAGGCAGCCACAAGATGGCACTGTTTTATAAAGACTTTGCTAAAACAAAACAAGGATTCCCCCCCCCCCCAACTAAAATCTGGAACTGAATTAAACATATTAGTTCGGCTTGTAAATAAAATCCAAATGTCATTTTCATCATTTGGTTGATTAATAAAGGCCCCAAAGAAGTCCTTTGACACAGGAATATCTCCCCTAACAAAAGCGCAGCATTTTTGCATTAATTACATCCCAAAGGCAATAACATAGGCTTATAAATAGCTAGTAAGCTTTCCGTGATGAGTCAGAATTGTTTCTAAGTGACCAGGTTCTTTCTTCCTTTTTCTTTCAGGACACCAAATGTTCCCAAATGATAAATATGAATAATTGTAGATATGCAGGATATTAAACTACTTCTATATTATTGCCAAGAGAACAACACAGACATGTCCAAGTAGTTACCAAGAGTCCAGCTTGACCTGAATGAGACTTTTCTCTTTCTTTCCAAACATAAGAAAGTCCCAGGAGTTAAATTGTTCTAATTAAATAAATAGCTTTTCAAACTGAACCAATTTCAGTCTGGCTTGGGGGGGGGGGCTTATGAATGCAAGAGAGCAACAGCAAGATGTGTGATAGTAAATTAAGTTGTACAGCACTTATGATAGAGTTCAGGTTTTACAGTACACACACTGCTATTGCACTTTATCCTTGTGGTGTCCCAAAGCTTCAATATCCAATGGAAACTTTCGTCAGCGAGGGATAATTTCCCTTCCTCTCTGCAGCCCAATCAGAAGCTCCAGAGAATTCGAGAACCTTCTTGGAAGTCGATGGGGACAAAGTTGGGGGAGCTGCTGCTGTGACAGAGAACTGTGATCAGTCCATTCTCCAACATTACACTCTACCAACTTCTCACCTCAGATCCCACAGCAACGTATCAGAGAGAATTGTGCAGCCTACTACAAACTCCATTCTGTGGATGGAAACCTCCACTCACTGAATGAATCTTCCACTAATTTGAGACCAACAGGTGCAACAAACCTAATGCTGTTCTAATGATGCTGCTTTCCTGATGTCCTGTAAGGTTGTGCTGCCACTGGGTACATCTTTACTAAGGTATGAAGTTGGGAGCTGTAGCTCCAACAGACACTTAGGCTCCTGGGCTTTTTAGTAGATCCTCGTCTGAGGGATGATCTTCAGGACCTATTGAGAGTCAAGCAAACTTTTTCTTTTACAGCAAGAAACTTGTACAGATAATTAGAGCCAGCCTGGGGTTGAATTGTGCCTCAGATGAGAAATGTCTTTTGCATCACACACAGACTTTCTAACTTGCAATTATTTTATTTGTAAACATATCAGACAGAACTGTGATTCATTTCATACGTTTGATACACATTTTACCTACAGTGATTTACATTAATAGGTGGTTCCCCCCTAAATGAATGAATGAATGAATGAATGAATGAAAAAAGTTAATATACTGGCCACAGATAATTGGTCTGCCACTTCCTGTGTTCCAAGCCTGTTTCAGATCAAATGCAACAACCGGATTTTGTGTTTTTATTTATCTTTATTTTATTCAAACATAGCACTAAACATAGCACAGATCATTCCCTTCATCTATGTTATGCTCACAACAAACCTAAAAGGGAGGCTAGATTAGCCTTCCTCAATTTGTGTTAGCAAATTTCAATTTTCATCAGCTTCAAACAGTCTGACTATACTCAAGAATGGCAGAGTTGAAGTTTGAAATAACTGGAAGAGTAATCAGGTTTAGTTGCAACAGGTACCTGGCTGATCTCAAAAACTTAAGCAGGATCACATCTGGTTAGCAATGGTTAGGAAACCACCACGAAAGTGGCTAGTGGCTTGGAAAAACATCCTAAAAGGCAACAGCAAACAACCATTTTGATATTGTGGCCAAGAAAACAATTTGGACATGCCCATGAAGTGACCAAGAGTACAGCTCGACCCCAGCGAGACTATTTTAATCAAGTCTGGGGAAACTGGATAAGAGTTCAACGTCCCCAGCCGTGAGCTTGGTGGCTGTACAAATCTGTGGGTCACCAGGTGTTGCGCGAGACTTCTCAGCAGCCCGGTTAGCCTAGTCGACTCTGAAAGATGCCAGGTGTTGCATTCAGCAAAATCTAGAAAGCCCCATATCCCTCCGCCTTTTGTTTTTAGCCGCGCGACATAGTTCCCCGGAACCACCGGAAAAAGAGCCACAACTTCCCGCAGGATCACAGAAGGCCATGCCCGTTTACCTGCGAGGAGTGCTTTATCTCCTGTACTTTTCCACATACTTTTTGCCCACGCCGCGCCCGGGTCCTCGGCCCTCACGCTTACCTCCAGCACCTCCCGCTGTTCCCCGGCCTCCTCGGGGCTGCCCTCTGCCGGGCGGGAGCAGAAGTCTCCGGCGTCGTGGCGCGGCGGCGGCAGGAGCTGGGGGCTGCCTTCGTCGCACTCCTCGAGCACTTGGTCCAGGAGCTCCGAGTCCGAGTCGGGCTGCTCGCGCGGCAGCGAGGGGGCGCGCGCAGGGGTCTGCCCCGCGGACCTGGCGCCGGCAGCCCCCTCGTCGTCTGCCGGGCCCTGCCGAGAGGAGGCGCTGTGACTCGCGCTGACCCGTCCGGGCCCCCGCCAGCGCCTCGGCGGGCTGAGGCTGCGCGCCTTCCCCGCCCTGCTGCTGCCGGTGCCCATAGCGGCGGGAGTCCCCCGGGGCCAGTTGCTGCAGTTACTCGAGGCCGCTTTGCTGCTCCCGATTGCTTTCCAGATTGTTCTGATTCTAAAGCCCAACTGTTGCGGAGTCCTGGCGGGCGGTAGCCAAAGAGGGTGGGATCCGTCCCCGCTCCTTTTCCTTGTTTCCTGCTGTTTCAAGAACATTCCTTGGGGTTTAAATCTGTTCACTGCGGAGAAGCGGTTCCCCCACCCGCACCCCCACCCCATGGAAGAACCAAGATCTCCTGCCGCTTTCCACACTCCCCACCGCGACGTGCTAAAGAAAGAGGGAAAGTATTTAGGTTTATTTTTTTTTAATTCCCTCTCGTTTTTTAATCCCAAGAATTTGGCTTTGAACAAATAAATATGCATGGGTGTAACCTCTCAGAACGAAGCTAGATTTCAAAAAGAGAAGGAAATGCCGAAGCGCTGCACTTAGATCATCCCTGGCATTAATTTAGCTATATAGTAGAAAGCAATAACAAAATGGGTAACTAAACGGGTTTCTGCAACCAATATTGTTGCAGAACCAACTCACAATTTGGCAAAGGGACACTCAGTGTATACTTAGCATTCCAAAATGTTTTCTTTTAGTAACAGCTCGGGAATCCAGCTAGTTAGTATTTGTAAAAGATAGTCAACTTATTCATTATGTTAACCATATTTGTCAGAGCGAATTGCGCAATGCTGGATTGTCATTTTGTGTATCTCAAATTACTCTACTGATCCCAGGTCAAGCATAGTTGGGACAGACCTATTACATTCAGTAGAGCTTTCTTTGGTATAAATGTGCCTTTGAGTCAGTCCTTCCCCTTCACTTGATGTTGCTTTTTTATTTTAATGGCAGGGCTTAGATGTGGAGCAAAGAACAAAAAATTAAAATGTATTTTAAGCATGAGAAGAATGTTATTACAAGCAAAGAAAACCATAGCTTTGGAAATGGGAGAGTTATCTTTGAGGAATATATAATTACACAATTATTCTGGATTCCTAAGACTAAAATTTGCTTCTAGGATTTCTATTTGTTTTAGGGTTGTTCACTTTTAATATAGTTCAGAATTTCCAGAACAGCCATGTTGAATTGCAGCATTTAAAAAAAAAAAAAAGGCTAGACTGGCATTAGAAATCATTGCTGCAGAAAGAGCTGGAAAACAGAAGCACCAAGGGGATCCTGGACAGACTTTTGCCAGCTGTGGAATAACACTCTTTTTCTGGCTTTAATAACCAATCTGACTGGGTAAAAATAGATCTTGCACACCTATTTATGTGGACACGTCCTATTAGAAGTGTTTTCTTTTCCCAAATGAGTATATTTCCATTCTTTGCTGGTTCTCTTGCTTAGGAAGTCTGAGAAAGGAGACTAGAACGCAAAGGCTTGGTCGCAATAAAAAGGACTGCCTTTGTACACAAATGTTTAAAAGGGTCTGCTTCCTCTGCTCATTTTTAGATAATTGTTCTAAAGAAGTAAATCCATTTTTATGGACAAAGGAAGAATGGTTTGATTGCTAGGATATGTCTGCTCCCCTTTTCCATTCACAATGGTTTTTTACATAAAAGATGTTGCTGGGTCACAAAGCTAATACTGGAAGTCCTGAAGATGTCCTAAAAAGATGTATTTCTTTTTAGAAGAGGCCAATGCTGCTGTAAGAGCTCTTCCTCACAGTTTTGTTAATGTGATTTCCTCTAGTCATTGAGTCAGCAGAAAAGTATTCTAGTATAAATTGCTCTGCACCAATTGCTGAGTCTCATTCTGCCTCAGTAACACGCCACTGAGTAATGCTGTCCTTACAATTTAACGTGGGATTTTTTGATTGATTGATTACGTGATATCAAGTTGTCGAATCTTAGCAAGCACCTAGATAGATTTTGTCCATGAAGATCTGTCCCTAGTCTGGTCCTTCAGCTCTTCCAATGGTGTACTCATAGCTACTGAGTCTATCCACCTTGCTGTTGGCCATCCTCTTCTCTTTCCTCCCACCTTTCTCAGCACGGGTAGTCCTCATTTATCAACCACTTATTCAGAGACTGAAGTTACGATGGTGCTGAAAAAATAACTTTACGACCAATTTACAACCATTTATGACCTTCGCAGCGTCCCTCAGCCACGTGATCGCTATTTGTCAGTATGTGTCATCCTGTGCCTAACCTTTGGTTTTTTCTTTCCTTCTCCCCCTTGCAGAGCAGAGAGATTGGAGAGGAAGGAATTGCAAGAGAGTAAGCTGTTTGCTCTTCCACACATCAGAAGCAATGCAATTGTGCCGGCAGCCTGAGGCTGGGAGCTGGAGCCGCAGGCTTGTTATGCAGCTTACTCTCATGAAATCTTTTCCTCTCCAATCTCTCCGCTCTGTGGGGGGGGGGCAGGTGCACCTTGTCAGCAGCAGGAGGAAGAAGATGGCGAAGGTCAGATGAGAGTGGGAGGGGCGGCAGTGTGCAGGGTGGCGGGAGTGGCAGGGCGGCAAAAAGGGCGGAAATAGGGGGGGAGATGGGTGGGGGGAGTTGAAGTGGAGGTGAGTGTGGCAGGGCAGGAGAAGCATGAAGTCCTGGCCTAGTGACTGCAACCAGGAGTACCAGAAGTGCTATCACTATTTGGTGCAGTCATGTGATGTTTTGCCTAACAACCACTTCACTTAGTGATGGAAATTCAATTAGGGTTGTTAAGTGAGGACTACCTGAATTCTCAGGAAACTTTTCTACCAGAATTCAAAAACATCAACACTCTCCTTATATTGCTTCTTCACAGTCCAGCTTTGCTTCCATAAAATGTCACAGGGAATACCATGGCTTACATGATTCTGATCTTTGTAGATATAGACACATTACATTTGAATATCTTTTCCAAGGCCTTCATGGCTGCTGTACCAAGTGCTAGTCTGTGGCATATTTCTTGACTGCTTGTTCCTTTACTGTTGACAGTTGATCCTAAAAGGCAGAAGCTGTCCACCATTTCGATCTCTCTCTTGCCAGTTCTAAGGCTGGTGGTTCCACCTGTTGTCATTACTTTGATCTTTATGTTTAATTTTAGTTCCATTTTTTCACTGTGCTCTTTGACTTTTATTACTAGGGCTTGAAGATCCTTTGCATTTTTAGCTGTCAGGGTAGTATCAGCATAGCGCAGGATACTGAAGTTTCTTCCTTCAGTTTTATAACCATGCTCATCTTCTTCCAATCCAGCTTCCCTTAATATATATTCAGGCTGAACAGATTGAATAGGTTGAATAAATAAGGAGAGAGTATACAGCCTTGTCTTACTGCTTTATCAACCTGGAGCCAGTCTGTTTCACCATGCTCTGTCCATACTATGCAAATTGAACAATTACCCTGCTGGTGGGAAAAACAATCACCCATCACTCTTAATGTGTGGTGGGGTAGAATTGGGCAGTAGTGGATAGATGTCTGGAATGGAGGGTTTAGTCACCTTTCAGTTTGGCCAAGTAATGGATCACAGGCATAATGGGGGTAGTAGAAGAAAGCACCCAATAATCACTGGCCTTGAGTGTCTATGACTGACAGCATCCTAAAATAGATGATGGATTGTAGGATTAGACTGAACGGGGTGTCTTCCCAATGCAAGAAAAGTAAAAATGACAAAATCCCTTGTTAGAAAATGTGTAATAGATGCATTGGTCATAAAACCTAGTTAGCAGAACTTGACTCATTTTTGTAGTTTATGTCCAATCCGGCACAGGATTAATGTTCTTCCAAGCGTGTGCACACAATGTGCTAAACCTGTGTTGTTAAAGAGGTATGGTGGTCTTTTGAAAGAGTGCTGCACCTATGTGTATAACAAGCCTGGGTAATGCATGACTGGTGCTTTCTGAAGCACTCCTCAGGCATTATGTGGGAAAGTTCCTTTAGAAACCAAGCATCCAGTCTCTCTGCAGCCCAAGACAAAATGGCAATGGAGGGTAGTGCAAAGCAATCACAGCAGCCCAAAGTGGATGATAGCAGTCAGTGATAACATTCATCACCAACTTTGTCAGTGAAATGTTGTAGGTTTGTAGACTGGTGTTGGGAGAAGAGGGAAAACAGTAATTTAAGATGCCTGCTCGGGATGAAGTAGAGGCAACATCATATGAACATGTTTTTCAAAAACAGTTGGGCATCGTGCTGCAGTCAGTCCTAAGTATCCTAGAAGAGACTTCAACTCAGGGCTTTCCAATCTGGGCTATCTCCAGATATGTGGATTTCAACTTCCAGAATTCTTAATAATTGCCATGCTGTCCCAAAGTTGCACTGCACACATCTGAGGGTGCCCAAATTGGGGAAGGCTGTTCTAGGCCACTTTATCGCTTCTATCTGCAGATTTTTTTTTCACAGGGAATGACAAAACCTAGTTTGAATTGCCTACGTTTTATACTGGATTAAGGGTAAAAAAATTACTCTCTCAGCTTTCCGTTCACATTTTCCTCTGACTTTGGTGAATGAATTTCTAAAAATGTTTTCAATTTATTGGAAATAGTTCAGTGCAATGATTTAAAATTTTAACTGTTTTAACTAGCAGGGTTTTTTTTAATAAATTGTCCCCAACTCCATCTAATAGTTGAGGAAGATAAGGAAGAAAGATGCACATACCATTCATTTCCAGGTTTACTTCCAAACTCTGCAGGAGTGGTTCCATCCCCTCTGAAAGCTCTTAGATATCTACAGGAAATAATACCATTTTTGCTTTTTTTGATATCTGAAGTAGGAATTTGACTTTGTTATCATTAAAGAGAAGCTAAAATTAATCGTGTTATATCTCAAGAGACATGAATTTAAAATTCAAATTAAAACCAGGATTTGCTTCAGGAGTTTGCTTAATTATTGCCTCTCTTATTTTGTGCTAGGCCTTAGTTGCCAGATGTGTGAGGTGTTACCCAAATTAAGAACACCAAACCTTCACATGTCCCTAGTTCCAAAAGTTCAGACTGTAGCTCTGGCTTTTCAGCACACAGGGAGAGGCTCCTTAGCTCATAAATAGCCCAGCCACCTTAGAATCTGAGAGTTGGAAGAGGTCATTCAAGCCACTGGGTCCACTGCCCTGCTCAGTGCAGGAATCCAAAGGAAGGTATCTCTGAGATGCTGTCTGGGTCATCGGTTCCCCTCTTGAATTGCTTTTACTATTAAGAGGTTTTCCTTTGCATTTAGTCAGAATCTGCCTTATTCTGGTATTGGAGTGACCCTCTTTGGGGTCTGGTACTCACCACCATAACT